ACCTCCCCACCCCCAGATGTGAGAATGTTAGCCACAGCTCAGAACCCTAGCCAGCTGCCTGTTTTGAGAAGCTGAGTGATGTTTTCTCCATGTTTATGGAGTTACTGCTATGCCCTACTTCCCCAAGAAGCCCCACAATTACTTCATGAGACACCAAAAGCATTACCTCACCAATCTTGGATGCCCTCCTTAGAAAGTGCAGTGGCAGAGGGCGACCCAGGCTGAAGTCTAGAGCTTTCAGAATCTTCATTTCCATTTGCCTGATCTGCAGCTTGGTGTAAGCATTGTCTGTTACAAAGGCAAAATCCCCAATTTCAGGGGGATACATTTCTTCATATTTGCTGGCAACAAACATGGCTGTGACCCCAACCAGCTGCAGAGTCTTCTTGGATACAATGTTGTTCTGTCACAAGAGAATCCATTGCGTGTTTGAGATTAGCAATGACATCGTGACAAAAACAAAAGAACCCCCCCAAAACCAAACACAAAAAACACACCACCACCACCACGTTTGCCATGGTAGTCAACTGTGTCTTGACAAACTTGCCTGCCAGTCATTGACAGGAGCCCAACCTTTACATTCAATTCACTTTTAAGTGAACCATGCTAGGAATTCTACAAGAACTTGGTATGGAAGTATTTATAGGAAAGCTATCAAAACATTGGATTTTCACATAATACCTGGTCCTGTTGCTACACAAGGACAGTTCACTAGGCTTCCCTCCCTCCAAGTGAAAGCTGGAAATGTAATGCTTAAAATTTGTTTACAACAGCAAATCAGTGAAGACCATCTTTTGAGACCAGCTTTCCCCACAGCATTGTTGATCAATTAGCAGTCAGGTTCCCAACGACAAGTGGCTGACAGACCAGCAGTTCTTTGCCATAGTTCCAAGACACCACTCATACCTGCAAAAAACGGTCTATGATAGCAACTGTCAAGTACATTGTCTCTTGCAGCAGTCTGAATTTCATTTGCACCTGCACAAGCCAGTCAATGAGTATAGCACGCATATTTCCAGTGACTTCCTTGCCCAACAGGAATTTTGGTCTGATAGCTTGTTGTTCCTGCATAGGAAAGTTATTATTAATATTACTACAAAATAGGACTTTTGGTTAGAGGGAGGCAATGGTATCTTAGTCTTGAAGCCTGGATACTGCAATTGTCGTGCACAATGATTTCAAGTTGTCCAGTACTTCATTTTAGTTACCGAATACTAGTGCTTGCATCTTATTAGGTTGAAAACCCTAGTTCTAGTCTAGAGGCAGGCAGTTATTTTGGCTGGAGGGCCACTTAAGAAGTTTTGGATAATTGAGGGCTGCAAGGGTAGCCCCACCCCCTGGTTGCCATCTTGGGATGCAAAGCCTTGCCCCTAACATTGCCACCAGAAATCCCTCCCCTTGCCCCAGAAGTACACCGGGGGGGGAGGGGGGGGGGGCCCGGGGGGGGGGGGGGGGGGGGGCGGCCCTGCAGAATCTACTATAAATATTTTTAATATTAAAAACAAACAAACAAACAAACAAACCTCTTGTTTTGTGTTTGCATAGTATATGGGCCACGCGCGGGGGCGGCGGCGGCACACATGCACTGGCTGCGGTTCTGGCTGGCTCTGTACCTCTACATGCTGCTAGGAGTGCCAGGAACACCATATGGAGGTATAGAGCTGGCCCAGCCCAATAGCACAGGGCTTGCCACAGCTTCTGGCACCATATACATGATGTCCCACCCCCAATACATGTTGGGAAGGGCAGGAGGAAGCCAACCCTACCCATCCTATCTGCAGCTCTTAACTGCAGGGCAAGGACCCATATGACACAGCATGGAGCCAGCCCAGCTTGGTGGCACACTGGAGTCCCAGAAACTGTGTGAAGTCTGGTGCTATCAGGCTGGGCCAGCTCTGTGCCTCCACGTGGTGATCCTGGCACTCCAGCTGGGAGCAGCATGTGGAAGCACAGAGCCAACCAAAGTCCCATGAGCCCCATGTAGTGAGGCCATCACCGTCAGTCCACCTTCCTTCCTGTTCTCACCTGAGTTTCCACCTAATCAGATGGAGGGTGCACTGGGGAATAGCCACAGGGTCATCAGGGCAGAAGCCTCTGCTAGGCAGGAGCATGGCATAGAAGAAGAATGGGGCAAGTCAGGTTGGGGTTGGTCACATCATGACTAGAGCCTGAGCTGCTTGGTGCTGCACCCAGTGCCTCCTGCCACTAGCATCTTGTCAGGTAGTAACTGTTTAAGTTTCAAGAAGCCCTGTGGGCCAGAAGTGTCCCAGCAGGCTGGATTTAGCTGGTGGGCCATGTTTTGTCCACCCCTGTTCTAGTGAATGCATACACTTGTCATTTAAAGGTTTGGCATACGTTCTGGTCCTGTTAGCAAGCTTGTAGGAACATCCGTGACTAGACTCCTCTGTCAGCTAGTCCTTGTAGTTCTTTACAAGGGATCAGGGTAGAAGCAGAATGCTGGGAGATGTGTTAGAAGTCAGCAGCCATACCAACCTCAAGAACTCTCAGGTATTTGTAGATATCCTTCACATATTCACTGCAGAGATTTGGGTCAGAACCATCATCTGCATCTACATCAAGCAACACATCAGAAAAGGCTTGACACAGTATTTCCTCCACTGGCATGCATCCAGATGTTTCCATTGGGGTTGGGGATAGAGGCTCCAACTACAGAGAAAGGAGTTAAATACATTTAATTAAGGCCATGTTGTTCAGCCATTTGGTGATCAGGCCTTTAAAAATAGAGTTTGACAGATAGTGTACAAACAGATGAGTTAAGGGGACACCAATATTCAGAGCAGACCAGTTATTAGATATCCTAGTATTTTGGGATATGTAGAACAGCTGTTTGGTCCTTACTAGCAGTGACAAGCTACTATTTCCAGAACAGCTGTAGACACGAGATGGTCATCAGTATTTCCTGCCACCTGGCCCTTGATTTTTCCTTGGGAGAAATATTTCTACACCAATTTAGGAGTTAGTTACACAGAACTAGGGCAGCATATCATTGTGCATCAGGGATCTTACAATAGGGCAAACAAGCAGCAATTGAACTAGAGTAAAACAAGCAGGCTATTCCCAAGCCAGTAGTACTACTTCAGTGAAGCACTCTCTGGCAGAGAGTCCCCGCCTCCCGCCTATAGTTTCCCTGGTAGGAGGTACATGACAGAAACCAGGATCTGTGCTCCAAGTTTATGGGCAACTTTTAGTTAGTCACTGAACTGACAGCAGCATTTGGTGTATGCATTCCTACACTGAAACAGTTGCTGAAGGAAGAGGAGATCTACATTACAAAACACTTTCAACTTGGTAAAGCCTCAATTATCTGAGGTCAGACATTTTATCTGGGCTCCCCTATGGACTAGGGCTTCAGCTTGCCCAATACTTTGGGAGGGGAACATTAATAGTTGTTTAGGTGGCCTGGCCCTAAGACAGCGATTCTCAATTAGGGTGCTACAGCACCCTGGGAACCTCGAGATCCTTTCTGGGGTACCATGCAACATCAGTACTATTAGCTGTACTGTGTGAATCCTCATTGCAAATGCCGAGACTTCAAATAGGAATCCATCATGAAACAAAACTTTGATTTGAGAGGAGGGGGGATTCCAAGTTCTCTGCAACAGAAGAATTGCTGTATTAAATTTTTCTAATTTTCACTTTGTTTTTGACTTGGACTCTAGGCACCCCACGGAAGTGTCAGCTCTGAAAAGGTTGGACCCAATTGCCGGGGGGGGGGGGGAAGAAGAGGAAGAGAGGGGCCTACAGAGGAAGAAGCAAGACAGAGAAGACAAAAAAGCCTCAGACTCAGTTCCTTGCTCTGGGAAAAGGCTCCCCCCCTCAATTTCCTTCTTTAAAGGAAAGGAGACCTTAGCCTGCCCATGCCCCATTTCACCTGCAGGCAGGGTGCTACATTACTTCACAACACAAGAGGGAAGACTAGAGACGGAGGTGCTCAGGTCCCACGCTAATGGCCATGAGTACTACTTTGGAAGAGGCCACCATTACTGGCATTTCGTGCCACTGAATTCACTTTGCTCCTTCCCTAGGGGAAGGGGAGCGGAGGTGGAAGGTGGTGGGAGATGCAGACCGAGCAGGTCACAGCAGCCCCCCTTGTTTCCTTGATACCATACCTGCCCTGGCGCACAGACGGGTACCTTGGCAGGCTCTTGGGCCTGCTCCTCTTCCTTCAGAGGCTCAGCAGTGCCCTCCACAGCTTTTGCAGGTTTCCTGGCAGCAGGCTTGTCCTCAGCCGTGGGCTTAGCTTCCTACCCAGCAGGAGAGGGAAGTAGTTAGCCGAGGAGCCCCCTGCACAGCCTGAAGCAAACCTGGCACCCCCATCTGCAGAGCAGACCCCTCACCCCACAGGGCTGGCTGGGCCAGGGATGCACGAGGTCCTGCGGGCAGCATTCCCCCCCCTCCAAAATTACCTTCTTGAGGGCAGCTTTAGGCTGCGGCTCCTCGCACACGCGGTTGCCGATGTCCCCCAGGGCCCTGCGGGGCCGCAGGCTGGGCTTGGCCGCGGCGCCCCCCAGCTTGGCGCCCGCCACCGTAGTCGCCGCCCCACTGGCCTTGGGCTTGTTCTCGGCGCTGACTCTCATGTTGTTCTGCGGAGAGACGAGGCGCCCTGAGCAGCCGCAGGCCACGCGGGACGCCCCCGGGGAAGGGGAAGGGGAAGGGGAAGGGACCCCGGCCCCGGCCCGCTACCGACCCTGGTGACCCGCAGCGCCATGTCCCCGCACACCGCCGCCGACACCAGCTCTAGCTGCGGCCGCAGGTTTAAAACTCGCATTGGGCTCCGCTCATTGGCTGCTCCCCTCCCTCCTCATTGGCAGCTCGACGTTCCACCCCCAATGCGTTGCCACAGAAACCGAGCGCTGATTCTTCCAGAAGTTCGAAAATGGGGCGGGGCAAGGGAGTGGGGCGGGTTGTTGGTACCACGGGACGCGGGGGCGGGGAGGGAGGCGTGGCTCCGGCCTGGTGCTTGGTGACGGCGCGGACGGCGCGGCTGACGGTTCCCAGCAGGGCCGTGTTCCTGTAGTCTGGTGCGTCCCGTGGCCGTCTGAGCGGCTGTCCGCTCGTCTGCTTGGGCCTGGTGGCCCTATAAAGCTGCCAGTGTTTGCTCCTGCCAGGGGTTGCATAGCTACCGAGATGGCCAGCAGGTCACCCGCTGGGTCGAGCTGAGCAAGACGATTTTGTCAAAACATCTGGATGATTGTGGGGGGAGGATGTGCAGAAAGACAGGATGCTAAGTAAGGCATGTAGGTACGGGCGTGTTTATGCAGATCAGGTTTTAGGGAAATATCAGTTTCTCACTATTGGATGACATAGTCTGTAAACAGCCAGTAGCAATAGTACAAATACTGAATAAGAAAGAGACAAAAGGTACAAAGAACAAAGGGTTCTTTGGGAGCAAAGGGTTGGATCGCTAGGCCTGAGCTTTTCAACTGGTGTGCCACATGAATTTGGGAATAATGAGAAGAAAGTTCTGTAGCCTCCTAGTGCTAACGAGCAAGCTGCATCAACAAGCCAGATCAACCAACTATTCACAGAAGACTGGTGCATGTGTTGACTGGGGGGGCGGGGAGGAGAGAGAACCGGCCAAGCAGAAGGAAATTCATCTGCACGTGTTGGCTGTGGGGGATGCGCAGTTCGAGAGCCTCTGAACAGCTGTGCCACGGAGTTTTGCCGTGGCAATGAGCTCATGAGTTTGGGGACAGAATGCCTTAACAGGTGTGCCACAGAAAAAAAATGTTAATGTGTGTCTTGGGCTGGAAAAGGTTGGGAAACGCTGTGGTAGCCAATGCCTCTGAATAGTCCAACAAGACTCTGGACTATCTGAACATCATAGGAGCAAGATAACTAGTACATTTCTTAGTATAAAATTGTGTGTTATCTGTTAAATAAACCTACATTAAATGGAGTGGAAACTCCCATCTCTCAAGCATTCTTTCTCTCAACAACCCACTGGTTCCCTGATCCAAGGTTTTGGGGTAACACAGGTTGACTATTAGAAAATTACACTGCAGCGCAGTCTGTACTTCTCAAGAGAGCATGAAATACCAGAGTGGGAGCATGTAGTAGGTGGTTTTTAAAAGCATTGCTTCCACATTAACTGCTGCCTGGATCTTTTAGTTGATTAGCAGCTTCCACAGGCTCCAGTTCTTTCATAATATCACACAGATGATGATTGGTGAGAACATTTTGGTAACTCACCCTTCTAAGCTCTGACCAAGCTTGGAAACTGGCAGGCTCTAGCTTGTACAAGAGGAATTATGTGGGAAATCAGTTGTATTTTGTTTTTATTTCCAGCTGCATCCATGGGATATCAAACCATGTTGGGACCCAAGGACATTCATGAACATTTGTTTTTAATTTGTTAGGAACTTCTGAGCCAGTTTCAGTCTCTGTGAGTGAAGGGAGGACACCAAGATGACTGCTGTCTGAAAGCCAAAGTCTGTGACTTATTTGTGGAGATGCATAGGATAATTCCAGGTGGTCAGAGCAACAGCAAGAGCTCAGATACTGGTGGGAGGATCCAGGGATGGCTGAAAAATGAAGGAGGGATCTGGGTTACATGGAAAGTGAACATGGGAGGAAATGAGGTGAGAGCAGAATTTCATAGATTTCATAGACATTTGGGTTGGGAAGGACCCCGGGGGAGGATCATCGAGTCCAGCCCCCTGCCCCAGGGGCAGGTAGTCAGTAGGGATCATAGGATCCCAGCAAGATAAGCATCCAAATGTGTCTTGAAGGCGTTCAAAGTAGGTGATTGAACCGCCTCTGGCAGTAGAGAAGTAAAGAAGTTCTTCCTTATGTCCAGCCTGCATCTGTCACGGCGAGTTTGTGACCATTCGATCTTGTCATCCCTTGGGGCACTCTGGCAAACAGACATTCCCCTAGATCCTGATGAGCACCCCTGATAGATTTATAGGCGGCCACAGATCACCCCTGAACCTGCGCTTTTCCAGGCTGAAGAGCCCCATGGCTCTCAGCCTCTCATAAGGTCTGTTTTCCTGACCTCTGATCATGTGCTTGGCTCTCCTCTGCACTCCCTAAAGCTTCTCCACATCCTTTTTAAATTGTGAAGCCCAAAACTGGACGCAGTATTCCAGCTGCGGCCTCACCAAGGCCGAGTACAACGGGAGAATGATGTCCCAGGATTTGCTTAAGAAACATGTATGGATGCAAGCCAGTGTTTTGCTTGCCTTACTAGCCGCAGCATCACATTGAAGGCTCGTGTTTATCTTGTGGTCAATGATGACCCCCAAGTCCCTTTCATCTGTAGTGCTAACCAGCGTAGCACTGCTGAGCCTATAATGATGCTGCAGGTTTTTCCTCCCAAGGTGGAGAACCTTGCATTTTTCAGTGTTAAACACCATCAGGTTCTCATCTGTCCGTTTCATGAGCCTGTCAAGATCTGCCTGGATCACCCTCCTGTCCTCAGGTGTGGATGCTTTACCCCAGTTTCTTTGCCGTGGTCATAGCAGAGGGGTCAAGACATGGCTTTTGAGAGAAGCAGGATCATGAGCCACCTGGGGAGCCCAAACCACCTATCCACCCATGCCTATCTTGCACACAAGCCCCAGTTCAGTGTGCAAGAAAGGGGACAGATTCTATGCTGATGTGCAGTTCCATAACACGTGCCACTGTGCATCAGTGTCTTGCACTCTGCAGTGTTTGGTGTTGTTAAATGTTTGTGCCCCTATGCTTTTCATTGCACATCTTTTGACTGTGGAAGTTGATTGCAGCTGGATTGCCCAGATGTTTTGCCTTTGTTTGATCACAGATGGGGGTCTGGAGTGACAGTGCTATGCCAACCCTGAACTGTTTATCAGTACACCTGTAACACCCTGGGGGAGTACCAACTTTTACAGGGTGATAGCAATACACTTTGGGCCTGTTGTTGCCCCTTTGGATGTTTTAGTACTCAAAGACGGAGCAAACCTTACACAGGTGTTGTTGTTCTCCTTTTATAAATGTTCTGAGTCTGCAGCTTTGTTTTATCATACTGTATCCCCATCATTCAGTGATTATAGTCTTGGTCTGAATTTTTTGCAGGGTAGGAGGATCAGCCGTAAAAGATGGCTTTAGCTGAGTTCATGCAGTGCTGACTGTTTTTTTTCCTGTTCCTGGCCAGAAAAAGCCAGCTCCTAAATACTCACATCTGTACTATTGCTGTCTCTTGGTCACTGCTGCCACATAAAAAGTATCTGTCAATTGCAGTTGCAGATCACCACACTTCAGAGCACAAGGAGGCACCAGGGAAAAGAAGTTGGTCCTAGATCATTTCTGTTCACCATTCTCAGAGAAGAGACAAATTGTTTCACAATGCCCCATGGAAGTGAGTAGAGGGTGATGCAATGAGCTGTGGTGCTACAAACCATAGGTTATATCCCTGCAAAGCTTTGCATCTTTTTTGATTTTGTACAGTGCCATTGTGTGTGCAGGCTGTTACTGCATCTGTATGGGAATTGACTGCTGTTTCTAAGTGCAAGGTCATGCTGTTAAATTAGGCTAATGCGATATATTAAATAAGGCGTTAACAGAAGACTTCTGATCAATCAGTTTTCAATGGAAAAATTGCTTTCAAGACAGTGAACCTTTTCACTAATGTCTGCTTTACATAGGAGAGTTCAACTTTCCATTAAAAATAACTTCATCCAAGGACAGTAAAGTTTTGATTTGGATCCACTGCTGCACTAGCTTATGGGAGTTTGTATTTCTTCTGTTGATTTGTGTTCACGTTCTCCATAGGTGGAGGGAGAAAATAATTTGTGAGGGAGGCTGAGCGCGCATGTGCATGTATGTACGTGTTGCCCCCCTCCCTGGTGGGAAAGTCTGCAGAGGAAGGGGCCAGGGGGAGGGAGCGGAGCCCAGGATCGGGGCCGGGGCCCACTGCGCCCCTTTGGCCACCCCTTCCCCTGTGCCTGGGGTCGTTGCCCAGTGCTGGCACTCCCCCACACTAAGCAATCTGCCACCTCCCCAGTCCCGCACTGCCTGGGGGGGCCAGAGCGGGGCCAGCCTCGGGTGACCCACTAGGCTGGAGAGGATGGAGCCCCCGGGACCCCTGTGACCACTCCAAGTCATTGTTCTGCTGCTGGTGGGGCAGGGCCTGCACAGCCGGGGGGGGCACGGGGCACGGGGCACAGGACGTGGGATGAAGCCGTGACTCATCCCGGGGCACAGGAAGGAGGCAGCTCCCACCACTGCATTCACCCAGGAGGCATGGGGGCCGTGTGTGGCCCTGGATCAGCATGGGCCAGGGCAGGCTGCCACTGTGGGCTGGGGCTGTATTGGGCTGTTCTGGGTGGGGGTGGGGAGGGGAGGGCTGGGCTGCGCTAAGGCTGGGCCAGGTTGTGGGGCAATTGGAGCCTAGCAGTTCATCCAGGGGCATGGGCAGGCAGCTCCTGCCACCGCGCACACTGCAGGGAAGCCCTGAGGGGGTATGTTCCCCTCCCTTGGCCCTCCCATGCCGCTGGGCTCTGATTGCCCCATGACCTGACACAGCTGGGGCCCCATTCATGGTGAATGCAGCCCTGGCTAGGCCGGGTCGTGGGACAATCAGAGCTTAGCAGCTCCTCCAGAGGTGCACTGCCGGGGAGCCAAGATGGGGGCACATGGCCCCCTGATCTTTGGATGGGGCAAGGGTGGGCTGTAGCTGTGAGCTGGGCTCTGCTCCCTGCCTCTGCTCCTCACTGCAGCTGCTTTGAAAGCAGCGCGGCATGGTGCCATGTGCCTTGCTGCCCAGTCCACCCAGCACTGGGATGCACATAGCACTGCACTGCTTTCAAAGCAGCTGCAGTGAGCACAGAGGCAGGGAGCAGAGCCCAGCTTGCAGCTGCAGCCTGCCCTTGCCCTGTGCAAAGATCAGGGGGCCATGTAGCCCCTGCCTTGGCTCCCCAGTGCTGCCCCTCTGGAGGAGCTGCCAGGCTCTGATTGTCCCACAACCCAGCCTGGCCGGCACCCCATTCACTGTGAATGGGGCCCGGCTGGGCTGGGTTATGGGACAATCCCCGCAGTGCAGCAGGGACCGAGGCAGGGGCAGAGGTGAATGATTCGTCCCTGCCCCTACCTCACCCCCTCCTGCACTATGGGGTTCTCGATCTGCCCCAAGTCCAGGCAGTCATAAAAAAATAAGATTGAAAGAAACTTACCTGCCTGCTGAGCCAGCTGCGATCCTGGCCGTGCAGGGTATCCGAGCGTGCACACCACTCCCTCCCTGCAGCAGCAGCCTGCATTTGGGCTCCTGTCCAGCCATACCTGCTGCCCTGTGTTTGAGGGGCTGAGCTCTGTTAGCCCCCACTCTTCTGCTGCTTATGACATTTTCCTACTTGGCCAGATTGCATCTCTCCTGATGCACCACAGTCTGGGATTCCTATGATGCACTGCCTTTTCTCTCTAAAAGGGAATTTGGTGCTTATAGGACATGAGTAGGACTATGAGGCACCAGAAGAACAGATTCTTTGACACTACAGCAGCAGTTGCAGAAGATTGCATTGAAATTCTCAAATGAAAATGCATCATTATGAACTTTTTGGAAAAGCAGATCACATCTTCTGACCAGCTCAAATGTTAACCCGCTATAATCCAGTGTTCACCTGCTGCTATTTCAAAGACTTCAAAAGGCAAAAACTAGGATTATTTACTCTGGGGAAGAAAAGATTGAGGGTTTTGTTAATAGCCTTCAAATACCTGAAGGGCGATTAAGAGGATGGAGATAGGCTTTTCTCTGTGGCTGTAGGGAACAGGATGAGGAACAATGGCCTCAAGATGCAGTAGAGGAAATTTAGGTTGGATATTAGAAAGAACTTTCTGACTCTGAGGCTGGTCAATCATTGGAATAGGCTACCTAGAGATGTTGTAGAACATCCATATGGGGAAATTTTCTAGAGCAGGTTAGACACACTTAGCTGAGATGGTTTAGTCAGGGATGATTCTGCCTCGAGCAAGCAGCTGGAATAGATGACCTCATGACATCTCTTTCATCCCTACTTTCCTTATGTTCTATAAAAAGAAAGCCTCCAGACAAGAGTGCTAAGAAAGAAACAAGAATCCTAACTTTCTCACACTATCCAAAAAGAGGATCAGGCATTATGAGGAAGGATTGCAGTTAAAACCATCTTCATGTTTAACAATGGAGCAGTTACTCAAAAGCAGGAAGATCCTAGAGGGTAATTTGATCATGCCTGATAGAGCTGCTGAGGTGGCACAGTGACTATAATTGCATAGACCATCACAAAATATGTTTGTTTATTGTAAAGGCAGAACTTAAGCCTACACAAAAAGAGGGGTATAAGGGGTATGATTTTTTTCTGTATATTTACAAAGACAACAAGAAATAACCAGTGAGATGCTTTACTGTGGAGCTAATTAGCTCTGCACTGAAGCATCACTGTCTACATGGGCAGTGCTATTAGGCCACAGTTAACTAATTAACTCTGCTGCAGGACAGTACTGCCCAACATAAGTACTACCCTACAGCAGCATAGTTACATTCAGTGAAATGTACATGTAGACAAGTGATGGGGCTAGCTGGGGCACAAGGGTGCTTCAGTGCCTGCTGGCTAGTCCCACACTGCAGCACCCTTGTGCCGCAGCCTGCCCCTGCACAGCACATTGAGCTGGGCTGGAGTAGACCCAGGCTAGAAGGCTGACCCCCAGTACCCCCTGCTGCTCCATCCTGGCTCAATGTTCTGCAGTCCTGAATGCAAGTGCAAATGCTGTGCCTTGGAACAATAAACTTCAGTGTGAACTGTGCAAGTTTATTACATTGCATTAATTGCACATGTAGATGTGCTCAGGTTATCTTACTTTGTGCCAAGATCAGTTTTAAATTGAAAAATATGTAGAAGTTATGACTGATTCCCACTAGAACCCCGTAAAGAAAGGCTCTGCATGGAGATCTGTAGCTGGTTGTCACAGCTCTGAAGCTAGTAGGATTTTAATGTGCAATAAAAGCAATTATCACTAATGGCATTCTAGGCATAATACTCAAGCTTAAGGAAGGGAAAAGGACTGGAGAGACTTACTGCTTGGCAGTACATGTCAGCTGATATGCTGCATGTACCTGCTTCATGCATCTGTTGCTATGCCAGTACAGTGGTGTAGCAGGCAAATTGAGTTGTGCTAAGGCTCTTAGCCATAGTCCAGGCCTTCCCAGAATGAAGCAATAACATTGAACAGAGTCCCTTCTGTGGCATTAGATGCGAGTGCTGCAATTGGTGCACTAGGCAAGCAAGACACAAGTTTCCTTACAAGGCATATACTTGGCACAGTCCCAGGGGATTGGAAAATTTGGGATTAGAAAATTAGAAAAGTAATGAACAAAGGAAAGGTGTGTTAGCATGCAGTGATTCTGGGGGGGCAGATACAGCTGCTTCATCCCTGCAATGGGGAAGCCATAAACAAACATCACACACCCAGCGGAGGACCCAAGGTCTGGGATCCCCCAAAGGTCACTGCTGAAACATCTAAGAAGCCACTTGCCAGGTTGTATTATGGGGAAGAAACCTGTAATACTGCATGGGAGTTACTATTAAAATTCACTTGAAACCACATTGCACGAGTTGCCATGTCAATCCTTTAGGGCTCTGGTGAAAAGAATCCTATTGGTAACAGTGGAAGTAAACGAAGGTTTAACGTAGCTTCCATTTAGAGCAGATGGACGAAACACTTGTAGTAGGTCAGCTGTGAAATGCTATAATTTTAAATAAAGCATTTTAATATGTTAGGGTACAGACAGGCAAACAGTTAGATGTGTGTACTACTAACAAATGTAAAACCTCATATAACATTTAAAAAAATCTACTTATATACACACATACATCCCAAATAGGGGACCAGAATATATATTTTTTTAAATTCAGAAGTCAAGATGCACTACATGAGATTAAAACATTCACGAAAAATAGATTTATTTTTTTGCTGCATGGTATATACATATTACTTTCTGCCAAATGTACAAATTAAACCAGTTTCATCCTTGAAACTGCACCTAAAAACAGTGTTTCATTGCATCTACCTGCATAGAAATCAGATTACTAGAACAAGAACACCAAAATACTTGTAAAATATAATTCAGTGGACTTAATTTTTCAAGCTACAAATAATTGCCTTTTATGTAATTCTTGATCTCACAGTGAAATATGCATTCTTTGTTAAAACATATGAATTTTGAATTTGACAATATGGGTTCTGCTTAATGCATCTCTGACTTTGATGCTATGGGCTAGCATAATTAAAACACACTTAGCTGAGAAACTCAATGCTTGTTAAGACTCAGGCTAACAAACAAGTTAGCAGGCCCTGTTGTAGGCAACAACAAGTCTGTGCTACTTGATTAACATGCCTTCTGATATCCTAGTGTTTTAGGGTTTGTCCTGATTATGGCTTAAGGCATGAAACATACATCCAGAGCACCTTAATAAACTTTGAGTGATTTTTCAGTTGTGTTGGATTTAGTTGAATTTACTTGACTGAAAAATGCACTATTGGGTAACTGTTTCCTGTTCATGTTTGGTCCCCTTAGTTTCTAGTGCTACAATCTTCAAGGTAATCATGCTGTGTAAAAGGGGCTTGATATATGTGGTTTGAAATAAAACGTGAATAGTCTGAAAATACAATAATCCCCCTAAAGTTAGGTTTATACAGAAGTCATGATCACAATGCTATAGCTCCTTCAATTAGACCCTTCCAAAAACTGAACAAGGCATACATTTCTAATGGAAAAAAAGCAAGCAGGAAAGTCCCGTCCCTTTTGCAGATTGGATGTTTTCTCGCTCCTATACTATCGATACCATGTACTGAAACAGAGCCATTTTGTTACTATACAGCCAGGAAAAAAAAAAATCCAGAATATATCCAGAACTGTATTAGGTCCCCAGTACTATCAGGATCAAGATCTTGTGTATATTCAGTCATGTCAAATTTATCTCTTGGAGTCAGGTGGCATAATTTTCAAGCTTTTTCTGACCTCAAGCACACTGTGTAAAAGCAGTTTCAAGCCTGCAAAACTTAATGTACTTCAGTGCTATCGAGACAAAAAGAAATGGCATGGAACTCTTTTTTTTAAATACACAAAATGGAAATTAATATTGAAGGTATAGTAAGCTGATTGCACAATATGTCATTTACCAAATGAGATTTTAAATGCTCTTTCCTCAATCTGAAGTTGCTGCAGTGTCATTGTGTGCTAAATTCTTCCAATACTAATTAATGTCTGTTAAACTCCAGATAGCTTCTCTAAACACAGAGAAAAAGTAACAGGCCAAAGTAAAGATACTGAAAATAATGCAGAAGGAACAACTCAGGTATATTAACTACTAAGCAATTACCAAATCTGAAGGGTGAATGTTAAGTGTTTTTACAGAAGAAAATGAAAAGCATAAGTATGGGATTGCATGCATATGCACTTAAATGTCATTCTTCCCTTGACAGCCCATTTTTATGGGTTTTTTTAAATTAGTAAATCTCAAAGCACTTCAGTTTGCACAGTATCTTAGGAATCTGCAAAGTCCTATAATGATTGTATGGGCCAGAGCCCTATCTTTACTCACCTAAGAAAATGTGGGGTGACAGGGAAATATAGTCTCATACTGGATTAACATATAACTATGATACACTTTTTTTTTTAAACTAGATGACAGCTGTAGGATAGCACCACCCATAATGGCAAGCCTTTTTTTGGCTTGAAAAAGTGACTTTTTACATTAATATAAAAAGAGTTCAAGTTGAACTAGTACTGCTGATCCTGAATCATGAATTTCTTTATTCTCTGCATTTAGACAGTGTCTAAGAGAAGCAAGCAGTTTATAGACAGTGAACACTTTACTGACAGCTTATTCTGCTGCTTCTCCCATGCACTTTTCTTACACATTGATTTCAATTATGTAATGTACCTTGGCACAATACCTAGATACTCTATATCTTTCTATTTAATGCTATAAAAACACATACAAAGCATATGTACGAATTACAGGCTTTTCCCCTCAATAGGGTGACTAATAGATCAAGTGAAATATTCTGCTTTTTGGAGAAAAACATCACTGGGGGAAGAAGTGGTTAGGATGTTTTTCAATGATGAAATACTTTACACTTTGAACAAGATTTCCACTTGCAATTGTTCATAAACAAGTATAAAATATTTATTTTACATAGTGGTTCAATTTGACTTTTCAGTCTCCCCAATAAGCAAGAACACAAAGTAGTGCGGGAGTACGGGGCTCATTCCTTATAAAAATCAGTTACTTTGATATAAATTTAAAATGGTAGCATTTACTTGCTTTGATGTAGTAAAATTATGTTTAGAAATTAGTTTTATATACAGAGACTGAATAAATATAAAATTATATATTTCTATCTGTACCTAACAAACCCTGGAAAAAGTGAGACTCCATATTCAGTTTAATTTGTATTTTTCATAATAATGTATACACTGTCACATACAAGGAGAGTCTTCAAAGATGTTTTAGGGGAAAAAGTGCAGTTTGGAGCTGATCTGGCTTCTACTGAAACCTACATGATTCTCATCTCCTGTGGATTTTGACCTGGAAAAAAAATGTTCGTGTTCCACTTTAAGAAGAATGTGTATACAATATAGCTGTGCTCATCCACACACGTAGTAAGATTTCTGTTTAATAAACACCACAAAGTATTTCAGATTTCCATTATTTCCACATATACAGGAAGTGTTCTAGTCCATCTTATTTCCTTCAAAAAGAGCATCTTGATCCAATTTTAAAGATATTAAACCTTTAAAAAAATCATATATATATAGTACATTTGTTTCTGTACATGTATGTGCAAATTGCCCTGACAAAATAATACAAATATTGAACCCTACAGTTTAAATTCTTTACATCCCATTAGTGAACATGATGCCATATCACATGATATAAGTGCCATCTTTGTAGTATTTCATGGATTCCATTTGTTGTGTCATTGCAAGGACATCATGAAACCCTGTACTGAGGCCAGACATGTGTTGAAAATAAGCTTCCTTCTCCACCTGCACAGTTAGATTATTCACTCCAGCATCTTTCAGAATTGCTGTTACCTGAGTATTAAAAAAGTTATCAGTATTAAATCTCTTGTCATTGCAATTCATTATTTTACTCTGATACTAGACAATGGTTACCAATAGGACAAAAGATCCCATCAATTTCTATACAAGCTTTTAATGTTCATATGATCACAGACATTTTCCAGCTAGACAGTCAGGAATATATTCAAAGTGAACACTTTTCTGCTTTCAAATAAAACCCACTGGGTGCATCTACATGTTGTCATGACCCAAAGGCATGATTTTGTGTGTGCTTCGGCACCAGAATTATCCCCGCCCAGTTGCAGCTTCATTGCACGGGAGAGTTTCCTGTTGCAGAGGAAAACCCTGGTGCAGGGACGAGTTTCCCGCCTATTTGCAGCTTCTTTTGCAGAGTGCATTGCTCAAGTTGCAAGAGAAATGCACGGTGCAAAAGAGTTCCCACCACCAGTATGCAAATTCGTTCCCCGCTATTGGCTAGTTTTAAATTATTCCCACGTGGCGGCTAACGATTGGCCTGTTAGCCGTATAAGAGGCTTGAGCAGTTTCCGCCCAAGCCGAAGAGGACTCCACATCCATCTCGTGGGGACTCTGGATACACGGCAGGGTAATAGAAACCCTGTGTGAGATCCAGAGGAGCTTGGCGACCTGATCCACCGCCCACCTCTTCCCGTCTTCGAGCGCAAATTTTATAAGACGTATCTCCGATTCCGATTTTGGTGGCGTGTTCACCCAGAGCATCCGGAGCTCTGTACCGTGGAGCCTAGCAAACTCCACGTGACCGTCCGTGTTGTCTGTGTCTGTAACCGCAACTCAAGCAAGTTTTCCAGCCTACACCACTGCCATCTCGGTGTAAGTAAACAATCTTTAAAACTACCGCTAAGC